ATTAAGATAGATAGATAGATAGATAGATAGATAGATAGATAGATAGATAGATAGATAGATAGATAGATAGATAGATAGATAGATAGATAGATAGATAGATAGATAGATAGATAGATAGATAGATAGATAGATAGATAGATAGAGTTCACAGAAAGTGTCTCCTGGCCTCGGCCGGGTGAGGGTTTCAAACTGGTTAAAACCGGTTAAAACAGGTAAAAACAGGTTAAAAGGGGTTAAAACAGTGATTCAGAGTCTCTGACAGGAACATCAGCGTCAGAGTGGAGATTAGATCTGACATCATCTGGATTTCTAGAGGCAGCCGAAGTGGGCACACGCCTTCCCTTCCATAGACCGGCCAACAGGGCCTCTGTTCTCTTTGCTCTGTGATCATCAAAGCAGACGTATCCGAATCCCGAATCCCCGTCAGAAACGCCGGAGTGACTCATTTAAACTTTGGGATCCAGGTCTGCCAGCTCACCTCTATCTGTCTCAGCCTGCCGGCTGTGGTGGAGTGAGGTGATCAATGGGTTTGTCACCAGAAACCTCAGGAATTTTATCACCTGTGGTTTTATTTACTGCTTTATCTTTGGGACATGATCCTTATATTATCAACGGGGCCTTAAGTGACTTGACTTACGGTAACTAGGTAAAAAAACAAAAACAAAAAAAAAGCTAACAGGGATAAGGGGCATCTACATTTAGTGATCACAATATAATTTTTAACATTCACTGGAAGGTGAATTTATAATCATTTGACATATCAATCTCTTAATGTTGATAAATGGCCATTAAGTTTTAAAAAGACAAATTCTCTGAAACGGGAAATTCTTCCGAAACAAGAAGGCATTCTTTTTATGTATCATTGTTAACATTTAATGAATTATTTTGGATATGCAATAGCAATAATCACTGATGAAAGGGCCAAAAAAGTTACATATAGTCAATGAGAATTTGAGATTTAAAAAGTTGGAGCCAAAATCATTCTTAAAGCTAGCCTAGCCTCTTAGCTAGTTGGAGAACTCTGAGCTAGTCCACTTTTTTTGTAATCATTTAGTTAATATACACCATCTATGGGATAGAAATTCAGTTGATTATTTTCCTGATTTGACAGAGCTGCAAAACTGAGTGTTTATTTCCAAGAAAAAAAGTAAATAGGATAGGTAGTAATATTTAATGTCAGCACAAGCTAGCCTTAAAGACTAGCATTGCCTAGCTTTAGCCAAAATGATTAGCTTGAGGCCTTGGCTTGCCTCCAAGCACATACGAGTTCTTTCAAAGTCAAACATTAACATTAAAAGAGGGGAAATGTCCTCTTAACTCTTTTGTTTGCTGAAAAATTAAGATGACCCAAAACTTTTGTTGTTAAGCTAACAAAACAGATGCTAAATGGCAAATGGACAGCTGAGCATCAGTTTGACTCAGGTTCTCCATCGTGTTTGCGTGCAGATACGGAGGCCAGGACTGCTCCGACTGGCAAAGCACCAAAGACAGTGGGCACGGAGAGAGCGAGGCCGGGGACATGGACTGGGAACCGGAACCGGGACGGGACTCGCCCATCGACCCACAGCTGGAGGAAGGGCTCAGCAACATGCTCAACAGCCCAGGTAAAAAACCTTTAGCTCCACCCGTCTGACAGTGGCTCGGAGCTGCAAACGGGGGGCCTCTCAGAGTGTTTATGCTTTTATGATCCCACCTCATAAAACCTCATTAAAGGCCAGTCGTGACCGCAAGGGATCCTTTCAAGGTCCTATGTTTATTTGGATTACCTATCCAGGGAGAGTCAACAGCCAGAGTACACAGCTTTATTTCAGAAATCTGCCATTGGGAGCTTTGCCCGTGAATCTGATCGGTTGGGCTAGTTGGATGTGCTGTCCCTGGTGCTGAACAGCTGTGCCTTTCCAGCTGTTTCTCTGGGTTTATGGCTCTCAAACCACATGAGATGCTGAACATTTGATCGTAGAAACAGATTCCTGAGACAATTCCGCTCTGTTTTGATATACCACATGACCCCATTGTGAAGGAATCCCCTTTAATCCAAGATGGTGGCCATGTTCCACACATGAATCCAAACGATAGACTAACTTCCCCCATTATTTTCTGGGGTATTTTCCCTTTTGTTTCTGAGAGAAAAGTGTGTTCAGTGGCTTCTAGGCTTTTAAATACAGCTCCTCACACAACTGCTAACTTTGGCTACATGAAAGACATAAAAGTTGATTCGCAAACAGCTCTGTTAACTTTTATCTCCAGCTCATAAAGTCCCTTCAATGAGTGTTGTGACCCAGCCATGGTAAGCTAACGGGGTCAGAGGTCACGTGTTTAATGGTGTCAGCCCCCGTTCCACCTTTTGCAAACTTGTCTCCTCTTGAGACAAACCTTCCAAAATTGTGCTGCAGTCTTTTGGATGAGATTTAGCTTCTTATTAGCCGTTTACACTCGGCTATTTGACCCAAACTGGAGTCCCTGAGATGAACTCTGACCTCTGAGTGAGGCTCTGACAAAGGCAGCCGAACTCCCGCGTCTTCAAAAACACACAGGCTGCTTTTCTACAATGGACGCACGCCATGCCTGGAGAAAACAGGAAGGTGGCAGGAAATAACAACCCGCACTCATCTTACACTCCTGTGAGCATCCATCACACTTTTTCGATTCATCCTGCATGTTTTCTTCCTCTCAGAGTGAAAATAGCAGAATCATTTCCTTCCCCTGTTGAGACTATACAACTCCTTTATAAGAAAAAAATAAAAGAATGCTGAAAATAAATTGACCCACACAAAACGTTGGCTAGTTAGCTTACTTAGTTAGCATTAGCATATAGCAATAGCATGCATTAATCAGTTTAATTGTTTTTTTTTAAACGAATTTTAGTTAACTAGTATGTCAGTACTGTTAGAAATCCCTTTAATAAACAGCATTAATATGTGTTTTTAATATCAGTTTTGCAATAAGTAGCCTATTTTATTCCTACTGCCTTGATTTAATATGGTTTAGCATGTTAGCAGTAGGTTCTATTAGCATGGAAGTTGTTGTTAACTTGTTTTTTATGTATTTTGATATCGTGCATTACAGTGCATATAGAAATTTTATTTTCTACTCAGGCTATTCATATAATTAGATTATAATGATCAAATTTAAGAACATTTTTAGCTTAATCTTCATGTTAGCCTAGATGTTAATCAACAAGTTAATGACTGTGAGGGATTTACAACAATATCAGCAATTAGCCAGTGGGGTTGTAGATATTTAATTACATTTATTAAGAGTTTAGTTAGTTTTCTGAAACCGTTGGGCATCATGAGATCGTTGAAGACAGTCAAATATATAGGCCTACTGCATTTTTATATATTATGATTATAATCGATTCATTATCACTTAAACGTTATTATACAGCAGCATCAAATATATGTATTTTGTTAGCTTTGTTACTCTTCAATATTATAACAAAGACAATTCCTTAATCAGCTCCTTTTCCTCCAACATCATCGATTTATTCTTTTAATTTAAAGATTTGCAGAGCAGTACATGGATCAATGTATACACATATTAAATCCAGATTATTCCATTTTGGTGTATTTACTGTGAAAAGAGGTAACCACAGTGGCAGAATTTGAATCGAAGCTCTTTGAATCCCCTCTGAACCCTGGTGGTCTTTCAGAGCCTCAAACGGGCCGTTTTACAGGGTTTGGTGGTACGAAGGCCGATTGGCACATCGGTGTGTAGTTAAACAGCTTCTTCCTGGTATTGTGTCGGCCCAGGCGGGGGGGGGGGCGGGATGGGGGGCTGATGATGCAGACCGACCTTCGCTTTACGGCTTGTGGCTGAACAAAGGAGTGAGTGGGAGTTTGTGTTTGGTCGGGCCCCTCTTCCAGCCCGAGGGCCTCCAGGTGAGTGGATCTCACACCTGAGCTCCTCTCTCTGAGTCCCGTCTCACGGCTCTCTGCTCAGGCCCTAAAACCAAAAAAAAAAGACCAGGACCCTCCGGCTAAAGGGACAGCGAGGCGGGCTCCGTTTCCCGGCTCAGAGAGGGTCTCTGCCTTTGGAGATTTTGCGGTTAAAGGCTGGCAAAACAAAGAGAGGAAAGGGGGCGGCTGGGGAGGAAGGGGTTGCGTTTTTCGGGGGAGCCTGTGTGTGTGTGTGTGCGTGTGTGTGTTTGTGATGCTACATTAATTCCCCCATCTGCTTGTGGTTAGATGAAGGAGACCACAGCCCTGGAACAGGCTGATCGCTCAGAGCTTTTGGGTCAAAGATCCTAAAACCTTTTTACCCCACAACATCAGCCCGCAGCTGGATTGACGCGGTACTTTGAACGTACACCGATAACATCGCAGGAGCTGCTTAAATCTGGAGTCTGTTCATCAAGAATCCATCTAAAAGCTGTCATGTGTGCAGCGTTGTGTGGCTTTGCTCGTGTAGCTGCGCATTTACGTCAGATTTTCTGTTCTAAAAATGCAGAATTTAAGGTTTTTCTGTAAGAAAACGAGCATCCACTGAGAGATGTATGCATCTTTATGAAAAACAGGCAAAAAGAAGATTGGTAACACGGCTTTCGAACAAGCTTCTGGGATCTAAATCTGAGCCCAGACCCGAAGCTAATAAAGGTTTGGGTTCATGTGGAATCCACATGCTGATATTTCGAAGACTCTCAGGCAAAAGCGATTAAACGGAAACCCACAGAACCACTTTAGACGTGGTGTTTGACGGCGAGCAGCTTTAATCCAGCGCTCACCTTCCCCTAAACGCCTCCTCAGAGGCCGGAGCTGCTTCCAGCTGGGGGCCGCCGGCCTCCCTTTGTTTTCCAGATGAACTGGATGAGATGAGACGTAAATAGCCCGCAGGGAAATCAAGCTGTCACAGCAACACACTACCAGGAAGAGGACTCAGTGTAAACAGACACAGAGGGATTTTAAATCTCTGCTCCAGAGTCAACACGTTTTTACGGGAGATAAATAAATGATGCGAGCTGTGAGCCGGAGTGTTTGTGACACCGGCTGTGTGGACGTGATGTGCAGCCGGCCGTGGAGGGCGGAAAAGCCTGTTAACAGCAGCCAGATAAAAAGCCTGCGCCGTTTCCTTCTTTTCCCGGCTTCTTCCCATCCCACGACCCCACAGAAACACACAGGAACCCCACAGAAACACACAGGAACCCCACAGAAATGAACAGAAACCCCACAGAAATGCACAGGAACTCCACAGAAACCAGCAGAAGCACACAGAAACAAATAGAAACCCCACAGAAATAAACAGAAACACCACAGAAATCAATAGAAACCCCACAAAAAACCCACAAAAACCCACAAGAACTCACAGAAACACACAGAAATGCATAGAAACCAACAGACACTCACGGAAACCCCACAGAAATCAACATAAACCCCAGAGGAACGCAAAAAAAATCACATAGAAACCCAAAAGAAACACACAGAAATGCACAGAAACACAAAAAAAACACACATAAATGCACAGAAACTAATAGACACTCACAGAAACCCCACAGAAATCAACATAAACCCCAGAGGAATGCAAAAAAAATCACACAGAAACCCAAAAGAAACACACAGAAATGCACAGAAACCCCACAGAAACACAAAAAGAACACACAGAAATGCACAGAAACCTGCAGAAATGCACAGAAACAGAGCCTTTCTCCTTATAAAGCAAAGAAAAGAGACTTTTTAAATGGCAGGAACATTAAACCTAACCTCTGGCACAAAAACCCTGATCAGAGTTGTGTGGGGTCGTGCTGGAGCCCCCTGCTGGCGGGTGTTTGGAGGTGCAGCCAGAAAAAGCCACACTAGCCATTCTCAGATTCCTGATGTTCTCCTTTTGGTCCGCAGACGATGTCTTCTCTCAGGTCAGCGACCCCGCCTGGATGGCCAGACTGTCCCTCCCTCTGGCCGGCGACTACCACGAAAACGTGTTCGTCCCCAACAGCCCCCCCTCCCCTGAAAGTGAGCTCCCTCCACGGGACGGCCTGGACTCCACCTCCTCCTTCTCCACCTTCGGTAAAACAAAAACGTGTTTTATTTCACACAAAATACATTTTTACATATCAGAAAGAGGTTTCACAAATCCCAAACAAGTTTTAAAATGAATCCTTAGCCTCCTCAGAATATTTCCATCCAGATTTGAGCTGTTTGTTGACTGTTGTTTACATACAAGACCCAGTTTATTTCGATCATAATGCAAAAAAAAGCACTAAAATGGCCCTGTTTTCCCTTGTTAAAAATCAAAAAGAGGTTTCACAAATCCTAAACAAG